GTAAAAGGACACATTTGATAAATGAAGTTGTCATAGGGAAGAAAGTGCAGCATTCAAATCCTAATCAGACAAGTACAACATTATAACGATTCGCTATCAAGTAACCCATATCTGGTAGAGTCATCCATTTTTGTGGTGGTTGAGGACCAAATAACTCTATCATCAAAGATTCTCTCACTTCTGCTAATCGATCAGCAAATAAATTGGCATACAAACTTGATCTTTCATTGTGTATTATTTCTAATCCTAAGTCTCGACGAACCAATGGCCAACCATCTTCACCATATCCATGCAATGAAGCAATGACTCTAAATCCACAATTACCATCTGACACAACATTAACTACATCATCAATATATGACCTGATGTGATTAGGAAGCTGAAGGATGAAATGCTTAGATGACTGTGAAGATTGTGATAATTTTAACTTCTTCGAAGCATGTGATGGTTGAGATTTCTTCTGTGAAGATTGTGGTAATTTCAATTTCTTCGAAGTTTGTGATGGTTAAGATTGCCTCTGTGAAGATTGAGATGCTTGATCAACATACTCATGATACGAAAGGTCCCTATAAACATCATACCCTACCGGTTTTTTTCCTTTCTTCTTGACTCCCCTTTTGGTTTTTATTTTCTCATGTGGTGGACACAAAGAAGTCATTGTGGGGAAGGCAAGTTCAAAAATCCTACTTTTTAATGCCTTTTTCCCAACAACATCTAGTGACCTAAACCTTTTCCATAACTCATCTATTGCATTACTCATATCCACCTCTGATCCATCATTTACGTCTTCCTCCAACTTAACTTCCATACTTAGTTTCCTCCAATGAACATGCACAATATCTATTAGTATTAGTATACCACCAATTCTATATCATGTCAACTCATAAACACAAGTTAATCAATTGGTTATTCTAAAAGTACAACGACATATTTCCTTGTTAGTTCCAACATAATCAACTTGTGTTAACTCTTCAGAAATGCGTCTCAGTGCAGCTCGAGACACTAAACCACGTAAATTATTGTAAAATGGACTTACGTGGGCGTGCTCAACTTTATAAAAACTCTTTTGAAAAGAAGCTCTAATATTGCCCAGTTGTAACTTTTAAGTTGTCATTCATAGCCTCCCAACATTTGACCATGTCACCAATACTATTCCTCAACATCTTCTTTAACTTCCAATGAGCAGACTCAACCCTTAAAATAATACATATTAAAAATACTTACAAAAATACAAAAAATATATACAATTTAGAAATACTAAAAATAAATACATACCGATTAGTCGTGGTGTTACCCAAATGTAGCACTCGATTAATCCATGCTCCAATAAATCTTTGTATGTGTGGTGTCAACCATATGTCCTTTACATAATCAATAAATTCATTACAATCAACGCACGCCTGCTCAAGTTGGTTCAACCTTTGATCATACTCAATCTCATCACTAGCCCATACAACTTTCGTCCATAATTTATCGATTATCTCTTGCATGTCACTAGCCACATATTATTTACGTTTTGCACCAACATTTTTGTTAATATTAAATCGACATTAGAAACACAATTTCAATGGCTTTCATCAAAGCAAGATCTCTATCTGTCAAAATCACTTGTGGACACAAATCTTTCTTCATCAAAAGTCAACTCGGTTGATGTCATGCCAATAATTTCAAACAGAGGTTGCCTATATTTGTTTGTCTTGTAAGTGTTTTCCATAACTAACACAATAGGAAAAATATTCAACAACTTAATTGAATCTGGATGAGCGTAAAATATATCTCTAATAACTTCATAGTCATCTCTTTTTCTACTCCACTAAACATAAAATGCACCTTTAAAAGCTTAAGCAGATGTTGTATCCCACTTCTAGGACCTCTTATCTCTTTTTCTATCATACTCTTCTGCTTGTATATTTGCGTGATCCGAGTGAGGTTATCTGGATCTTTCTCTTGCAAGGAAAGCAATATATGTCTAGGTGGAACCTTTATCTTTGTCAAATCAACAACATATTGCTTCTGATCCACTGCCAACCTACCAACAAAGGAGTGACCTTCTAATCTATTAGGTAAACCATGGTTATGAACTCCACATTTTACGTCAACCTTCCATCCAGATCCATCATTCGCTGGAATTGACCTAATTCTAAATGGACATCCACATTTTTCGTCGCACTCTGGATTTTCCACTATCAATATCCTTGTGTTTTCCACCTTTATCACAATCAAATATTAATTTGTTACTTCTTCCTCTCTTGCTTGTTTCAATATCTGAACGAGTGATGATAATTGTTACTTTATTTCAGATCTTGATCTCTTTAATCCATCTTATCACCTCTTCTCGTGTACCAAATCTTTGAGTAGTTGAAAAAACATCAGACGTATCTACACATACCTGGTCTTTATCGCATATTTGCGGAGGAACTTTCGTACCTACGGAATAAAAAAATAATTAAAAAAATTACATTTACGAAAACAAATCGGAAGTCTCATGAAAAGAGTTCTGGTATAGAAAGTCACCAAACCGGAACTCTTAGGAAAAGTGTTCTGGTACACATTATGACCAAACCGGAAGACATGACAGAAAGTGTTTCGGAAGAGTCATAAGTAGATCTCAAAACCGAAAGTCTTTTTATAACACATTTCATACATGTTTTGTAATAAACTGGAACTCTTAGCCAAATTCTTCCGGAGTAAAAAAAATACATATCAAAAGTGATTCCAAAAATATTCCGAAACGATGTTGATGGGATGAATTTTTTGGAACTTTGACAGAAACAGTAAAAAGTAAAAAAAATAAAATAATAAAAAATAAACAGAGATAAAAATAATATTTTTTTAAAAATGTAAAAATATGAATATAATTATAGGGGTATGGGATAAAATTTCTCCTCTCGTATTGGCTGAAAACAAAAGATAAACATTGAAAGAAATCTAAAATAGGCCAAACTTTTTATTCTACTTATTTTTGAAAGAAAATATTCATTGATACTGAATTCTATCTTTGACAATCCCTTCGAGTTTTTGACTAATTCTCTTCACTTACTTTCTCGGGTTAATTAATTTGTAAAGAACATTGACATTCAATTCAAAGAATATAAAATACACATAACCACACATCTACAATGAATTATATATCGGTGTCCGACTCCTATAAAAACCGTATAATATGTGTCAAATAATTCAGAGAAATATTTTTTAAAAAATCTTTACCTTAACACATTTTAGGTTACTTAACCTTAAACTAATCTAAAAACCTTAAAATGGAAAGTAAAGTACTGTCATATTAATTCTTCATGATCTAAAACTGAATAGTGTCTTCCAATGGTTGATTACAGATATTAAAATAATTGGATACGATGAAAATGAAGCGCGTCTAGAAGATTCTATAGATAATATATGCCAATCAAACCTGGCTTGGACATTTTGTCGCGAAATGTTCCTATCACTTGCTTTTGTATTTCTTTCAAAAATATGATTCAGTGAATGATGAAAAATTGGTAGACTTTGCATAATTTTTAAGGATCTGAATATCTCTCTCAATGTGAGTCTTTCTTTAAATAATCATATTGTAGATATGAAATATCAACCACTATTTAAAAATTAAAAATTAAATACTTTTTAACTACTTCTGGCCCTCAAAAAAATACTTTTAAATTCACTCAATATTTGTATAATACTCTCCCGGTTTCTATTCAAAGATGATTTGATAGAAGTAGTCATTACTCAATAACTAATATCAATCTATAATTGACGTTGTACCTTTCAATAGCTAATTTGATTTGATTATTTAGTCAAGTAATTGGATTTGGAAATCATGTACATTATCCCCTGGCTCTTGTTTTATTTAAAATTCAAAAATAAAAGAAGGGGACCATTGAAGTGGGGATATTCCCGATTTCCCTTTTGGCTGATGTCGATTTCTGAATCGACAAAAATAGAATCAACCTGACGAACAATAATTGAATTTGGTAAAGAGCAACGTCACCAGACTCACCACCATTCATTATTGTACTCATAAAGAGGGTCTGAATGCAACAGATGCCACAAGAGCATTAAACCAAAAACATCTTCCAGCTATGTTTTGTCATATCCTTAAATTTCTATCTGCCACATATAATATCTGATCACCATAGTCTCCTATGACCCCTTGTTTTTATCTGCACGTGCTTGGATAATAGATGCAAACTGTAGCAGGCTAAAATTAAAAGGACAAAATGAAAAGCAAGGGAGAATGGGAGATAGCATAGCTAAAACCAAAATATCTAGTCATAAATACATGGTATTCTGTTTTTTAAAATTCAGAAACATGTTAATTTGAATATTACCAGGTTCACATTTTCCAAACTAGAACGTTTCAAAGCAACATAATGTTAGTACCATAAATGCCAATTCAATTGAGATACCTACAAATAATAGTAATACTATTATGACAAATTGTAACTTCTAAAATCGGTCTGTGATAAGAGAAAAAGGGATTGCTGCTCAGTAGTGACCACATCTTTGGTAAACAATTTGAGGTAATGGACCGCATATCAATTTTCCTTCTGCTATCATTAACCATTAATAATTTCAATAGTTTCTGAGCGTGATACATTTGACATTGATGACTACCTAAAGAGACAACTTACACATTCAAAAACCAATCAACACAATTTTTGATAAAATAAAAGGGGAATCATCTAAAATGAATTACACTACTAACCGCAACTAGACATTACTTTATACACAAAAATAGGCCATTCAAGTTGATAACAATGTGGCCCAAGTTATAAGGTTAGTTGATGGATCCGGTTTGAAATCTTGCCTCCGGTGTCCTGTGTTTGCCATTGCATTCACTGTTTCCGGTGTGTGCTCTGAAAGCGTGCGGCCTATACATTCCTTTGAAATAGAAAGTGTATTCAATTAGTCAAACATTATTTGCACTATTTGGCACCTGTCCACCAGAATAACAGAAGCCATCAGGTTAATCCCGCAAATTCATTTTGTCATAATATATTTGGGCATCATGAATCATGGGAGCCTTGAACCATCAAGGTAATACGCTTAGTGCTGTCTGCGCGAAAGCTGTCCCCTTTGAAGACAACCTGAAAGTACAATCACATTCAATATCCTTAGGACAATTGAAACAACAAAAAGCTATCATGATCTGATAAATATTTTGCCAGGAAATAAAATGTAAGTTACCTCAGCAGGACTATCAGGAGGGAACCACCGGAGCAATGCACCAAGATGTAGAACAGCAGGAATCAGCTTGAAAAGCAAGGGTGTAGTCACCTGCATAAATTTCTATCAGCGTAAGCTTCAAAGTCGCTACAAAACAACTAGTCAAATAGTTAAATACATTTCTGAAATTAATATTCAAAACACATCAAGATTACTCACAAAACAGGCTATAACATTCAAATCTATGCACAAGAATTTCGCAACAGCAAGACCCAATGTTTACTAGTGATGCACTGCTAAAATATCACTAAAAGTAGCGATAAACTGCTTCTACACTTGTATGAAAAAGATAAATTAAAGACGGCCAACAAACAAAATCATAGTACAATATAGCAACAAAAGAAAAACTTGAAACGGTTCACTTATGCTGGCAAGCTGAATACCCTGCAACTGCAAGCATGCCAATGATGTTGCCCCATTCAACATATGCTTTGCAGATTTATCATGCTTTTCCTTTTCCTTATCCCATTTTTCCACAAAGATTGTTTCTCATTACAAAAGCCTCTCAAAACAAAAGATGAAATATATGGGAGTAAAATAACTATGGTCCACAAGGCTTGAAGCAATAGTTTGCCCTTGAATAGAAGCAGCTTGCAAGCAATCCAAAATGAACATAGAAAACCCTACCACTCTAACCCGTGTTCAAAGAGCATAAACTAATGGGCTTTGAGAGAATCTCACTTGAAAACATCTTTAATGTTACACAGGGATAATATGGCTCAAGTGATTCAAATCACACAGAACCAACAAAGTAACAGGTGATTAATGATTTGAGTTCATGACAAATGAACTGCATAGTACTTAAAAGGGAAACGGTGTTTATGAATACTATGTAAACTATAATTTAGTAAAGCATTGTCTGCATACCAGACTGAGAGCTGTTGTTCCAAGGAGCAATAAATACAACTTTCCCTGCGGTAAGGATTAGACTTCAGTTTAACTGTATGTAAGTAAACAATGTAAGACTGTTTCCAGTCTTCTTGAGTTGAAACTATTTCCATTATAGGAAGATAAACTTCACTGTCTTCCTAAGCATAAACAGGAATTATCTCAAAGGAGCGTATAAAAATAAAAGGTGTACCTCAACTAAATGAACATTTGAAGCACGACTGAGAAGAACAAATGCAAATTCTCCAATTTGTGCCAAGGACATCCCAACCTACGCATGTGGAATAACCTAAGGCTCCTCTGTCAATGAAATGTATAATGTAATTAAAAAGCATACACAATAGTATTGAGTGTTGTCAAATCTTACAAGAATGGAAGTCTTGTTATTGTATCCAAACCCCTTGACAACAGATGCGGCTACAATTGTTTTTACAATGATCACCAATATAACAGCTGCCAGTAAAATGTCAACGTGATTCCAAAGGAAATGGACATGTATAAGCATCCCAATACTGGCCAAGAACAGAGCAGCAAACAAGTTGCGAATTGGCTCAACCTAAAATCATAAATTTCAGTAAAGCTCAAATAAGTATGACAAAACATGGATTCACATCAAAATGTATGTCTTTCAAGAAATCTCCGAGAATGGCCACCCCACTTTACAGGCATCCATAATGAAAATACAATGTAGTACCAAAATGAATATTCAAACATCCCCCTCCCCTTAAAATATGTTTGACATGACAGAAGAAAATAATTGAATACTCAAAAAGAAAATAAATAAAATGATAAAGGTTGGACAAGATGATGCTCCACAATCCACAAGTTTTTACTGAGAAAAAGGGGGGGAAATTTTATTTTTGGGTTGGAGAGCTGGTGCAAACTATACTATTGGAAAACTTCCAAATCCTTTAAACATAGTATAAAATAAAATTCGCAAATAATATTATACTCCATCCATTCTCTTTTATAAGCAAATTTTGACTTTTTAGGTTTATTCAATAAATGATGTATTTGGACTATATATAGGTTAGATGCATTAATTACTTAATGAATCTAAAATGTTAAAATTTGCTTATAAATAAGAATGGACGGAGTATATCCTAAGGAAAATATGTTACTTGTTCAAGCGTATGTTGACCAAGATCCGTTGTTGATATCATTACTCCCGCGGCAAATGAACCTAGTTCAAGACTTAAACCCAGCTTATCACTACACTGAAATGAAATAACAAATTATCAAAACAATGTCAGAGGCACACAAGTTGTCTGGATTTGGAATTCATCACAAGTATAATGTGTTAGGAATGCATGCATTTAAGCATCCACTAAGATGTAAGGAAGTAAAGTTAAGTCCATAGACATAACATAAGTCATTACATATTGAGAGGAAACGACTACTAAGGGCACTTAAACAGTGTAAATATGGAATCAGACTACAATATATTATTAAGAAGATAACATTCTTGCCAAGTAACCAAAAATCGAAAACAAAGAATGGATAGAAAACAGACCCAAGCAACCATTAGACAGAATGCTACTGATGCTAATTGATAAAGTTCATTGGTCTGCACAAGAAAGAGACAGTTATGACGTGACACAGAAACATAGTTATGACGTAACACAGAAACAAACATCCAACAACAGATCAAGGGTCTATGCTCACCTGAGATGACAAGCTTATCATAAGCTTAAGGAACCAGGGTACGCAAGTACGAGATAATATTGACAAAACAACCAAAAATGCAATTAATGTCAACAACCTGAAACAATTTCAAATTAAGTATATCAGAAAGAATAAATTACTGAAACAAGCATACTATCGAGCAGGAATAAAGTTGATGTCCTCGGCATATCAAATCGAGCAGACTTCCTTATGAAGTTCAACAAGGCAATGGAAAATAGTGTCACTCTGCCAGACATACTAAACTAAAGCCCAAAATAATATCTAGGGAATGATAATGGCATTGGTAATTTTATTTTTGTCTTCGTCAGAAAGCCTGTTATACATTTCCACCCACTCCATCAAAGAGAACCAAAATATTAGAAACAGAGTCTAACTAATGAATAGACCCCTCCCATGTGGATTTCTTCCAAATAAAACAACCAGAAAACTGAGAAAACTATTTTCCATTTTTTACTACCAAATATATTTCATTTATTTAAGTGAACTGAATTAGTCATTGCAACCCCTTAAGAACTTATTCAGTTGTAATTTGTAAAGATACAATATAAAGTCTGATTAACAAATGTAACACGGAGAAATAAATATATAGAATAACACATTCTAGACCGTGTAGATGGAGTCTAAACTCAAACATATAATAGAACATACAATTATTTTTTGAAAGAAAAATAAGAACTGAAGCGACTTCGTTGAAACTTACATGGGGTAACATAATTCTCTTTCAAGAAAAAAACATGGGGTCACATAATTCAAAGGACAGTCTGTTGAAGAAGATCTGTAGACCTCAAAAAAATCTGAAGACCTCACTAATATTTCTTAGCTTAGTTGCATTTAAATATTTTAAAAATCTCTTCACAAACCAAAAATCAAAACTATGAATAGAATAGGTTTTTTAAAATCTAGAAATATTTGAGTATAGCAGCTTTGTATAGCTCAGAACTGACAAGTGTCAGTCTGAGTAGTTTGTTTAACCTGTTACTACAGGTTTTCAGTTAGTTAGAACTTGCTACTGCAGGTTAGGCTTGTTTATCAAAACCTGCTGTGACAGGTCATAGAGTTAGTTTTAACCTGCTAGTGCAGGTCAGTGCTTTTGCTGTATATAAAGAAAACTCTAGTGTAACTGAATCAGTTGAAAATCAATAACAGAAAAATACAGTTTGTTACAATCATGAATCTCTCTCTCTTCACTTTCTAATAAGAAAGTATAAGGTCAACTGGACAGTAGTCATACTAGAAAGACAGGATTAGAAAAATACAAAGAAATGGCAAAAGGGAACCTTAGGGGTTTATTGGCACCTATTATATATCTTCATAAACCATGCTGAGATAGAAATATAGCATAAATAAATGATAGACTGTACCCCATAATATACTTACGATTTACTCATGGATATTACTCCCTGAAGAACACCTGAGGTTCCACCCAAGACAGGAAGCAGTGCAAAGAGCAAACCAACAGCACAATCCTGAAAAAAACCAATAAAATTGAACATTGAATTTCAAATACCTGAGAAAATCTCAGAGACAGAAGGGTCATTGATAGCAGAGATCTCTCTTCTTTTTGCATGACTGTAGCAGCATGGTTTTTGTCATGCATGCACATCTATAAATATAAAAGTAATAGTACATACCTGCAGAATCAGAGTTCCAATTATAACCTGACCATGAAGGGCATTGACGCTGTTCCTTTCCATTAAGAATTTCAAGACCTATGGGCCAAAGAAGAATAAAAGAAAATTCAAATACTTGATGAAGAAATAAAATATTCAGAGACAACAACAACAACACTTTGTCTAGGTGTGACACAGAAGAAGGGTGATAACTAGGACTATACAAAAAAAAATGGAAGAACCAACCCACAAATTGAACCATTTTCAAACCGAACCAGAGAATGAAGACGCAAACCAAATTGCTGTTTTTTAAAACCCGCTTGCTAACCAAACTGTGCACTTGAATCCCAAACTGAGCTCTGGGTATTGAAAACCATTTGTCAGCCAAGCCTAACAATAAAACTAAAGTGAAAACCAAACGCAATGTCATTAATGACTTATTAATCGAGGAAAATTTTCAGAATGTCCTGCTGTTATGGTTATGCCGGAGTATTTAACTTTTTGGGAGGATTTCAAGCTACTGGTTGTGTGGATCTGAATAGAAGAATTTCATGACAACATCTCCTCCGGAAAGATTCTTATAGAATAGAAACATCATTTCATCAACCTGGGATTTGGATTCGTTCTCATTGGATTTTGAAACAAGAAATTTGCATGTTGCTGCAGAAGTAGCTTCACACAACTGAAAGTTTGTGCATCCATCTCTGCAGTTAGTTCCATCTTTTTCCGAACAACTAATGCCAAATAATATTAAACAGGCTCTAGGGGCACTAAAACCTTTATCTTTAATCATAATGTTACTAGAGCACCAATCTCAATCATGTTTAATTTTCATATCTTGATATGAGACTGTTTTTTGGCCTAGTGACCAAACCTGTACTTAAGTAAACACTTGAAGAAAAGGGGAAATGTGGTAACCCGTGTTCTAACTCAGGATTCTACATAAAACGTCCTCAAATCCAAAGCACTAGGATGTAACAGCAAGGATTGATATGAGACTATTGATTGTTGAAATTTTCATTTTTCCCTGGATCATTTTATTTCTTGATTGATCCGTTTTCCAGGCCTTGAATATTGAACTTTCTCTTATACTGATGAAGACAGAATCAGTTCAGTTCAGCAGTCTGTAACATTCAGCTCAGATTGGAATACAACAGCAACAGCAACAACCGAACCTTATCCCACTAAATGGGATCGACTTTATGGATCAAACTACAATGTTCTCCCAAAAGTCATATTTTTATTTATTTCGTTAATCTCAAGATCTTTCTTAATAGTTTCTCTTAGTTTTTATAGCTCTTCTACCTCTCATTGTTTGACTACCCTCCATCTTACCTCGTGTAGCCTTACCACCGCCTTAATGCTCAAACCACCCAAGTCTATTTTCCACCATCTTTTCTATTATTGGTGTCATTTTTAATCTTACCTCGTGTAGCTTAGAACACATTCAACGCTGCATCCTCATCTATGCTACACATAGTTTACATTTATGTTGGTTCTTTACCGCCTAACATTCCGTCCCGTACAAGATTGCCGGTCCTACCGTTGTCCAATAAAATTTTCCCTTCAATTTGAGTGGTACTTTCGTGCCACATTCTTGTCACAGAAAACACATGAGACCCTCCTCCATTTCAACCACTCCGCTTGTATTACATAGTTTGTGTCTCCTTAGAGCAACTTTAGCGCATGGTTGTTAAACCAAAATTTTGTATAGCTTACGTTAGTAATAAAGAATTTGCATTATAGTAGAGCTGACATGGCATTTAGTGAACTAAAGTTTAATTTCCATCATCAATATAGTTAACGTTAACTATTTAATGTGAAACATATTATAATATTATTTAATATTAATAAAATATTCCAACAGCATTAAATTAATGGTAACTTGAATAAAAAATATAAAATGTAGGGTCAAGTTTTGGTTTCTTATAGACAACCATTAAAGTAAAAACTACTCAAATCAACTATAAATTTTTTAAATCCTACGAAACACTTTGGGCCCACAAAAAATATCTTAATTTTACCCATTTAGTTTACTCCCATTAAAGATACTCTTATATAACTATAACTTCTATAAGCAGTTCAATTCTTTAATTTTTGAACCAGTTCAGTTCGGAAGCATAAGAACCCAGTGAAATGAACCTTAAAACAATTTGCTATGGTTCAAAAAAATCACAAACAGTTACATTTGGTTCAAGGAAACTATATTATAGGTTCAGTTTGGTTTAGTTTTCCTAACTGAACCGAACCATGAACAGCCCATGTTGAAATGATAACGTGTGGAACTTAATTGATTAAAGAACGAGCTTACTATTTTGGATTTTTGGAAAACAGGGAAACTTTTGGGAACTACACCAAGCCAACAACTAGCACAACAAGAAATCTAAACAAAAACAAAAGACAAAAATGGAACCAGGAAGTCTACAAAACATATGAATATGTAATCCATTCACAAACCAGATGTCAGTATTGCTTTAAGCTATGAGAAAAGCACAATAGATAAACCATAAACATTATCCAATACCGTAACATGTGTTGAGTGTAAAAGGACTATTAGAAACTATTCCTCTCCAAACAAATACTCTAAAAAGAAACATACACACCTCACATTCACAAAGTTTTTATCAGTGAAATTTTTAATCAATTCTTGAAGTGTTGTTTTTCCTTATGATCATGCCCCTATCAGTGAGATATTCCTATCATGCGATCAAATAATCTTATAATCTCTTATACTGGTGTTGTCTATTTCATCCCGAAACTTCTACTTATTTGGTCTAGTTACTAAGCTGTAAGCATATTGTAATTAACATTTAGACCCTAAAATTGGACCCACCGGCTTCAAACAGAAATACCTTTCTCAAATTTAATCTGGCCCAGTAATTTAATTAACTCTTTGGTTGAAACTTGAAGCATTGTGATGTCAGTGTCGAATAAAGAAATAGAAATATGAATCATCGTAAGATCTAATCCAAGTGCACCAATCAAGGATTATAAGAGCATATTAAAATTACTAAAGAGTGTGCATAGGATTACTTGAAATAGTATAAAGCTAGTATAACAACATTGAACTTAAAGTGATTGTCATAGTCTAACAAATCTGTACTAATTTACATCACATGTATATTGTAGAAAAGGGTTATCAGAAATTATGATCAGGAAATTACCACTGCTGTTGAAGACATGGATAAAAATGCACCAACAAATATTCCTTCAGATGGTTTGCCACCACATAACTGCAAGTAGGGTTTTGGTGCATTCATTAGACTTTCACTGCCGCTAAGTTAGGGCCAAACAACAATCATGTAGGCAAAGCAAAAATACCACAACTAAGCCTTATCCAAATTGGCCAGAATAAAACAACAGCTAACAAAACAATCTAAATATATATTGTTGACAAAACAAAATTTACATGCATATTTGGGATATTAAAAATTAAACATTTTAATATCAATCTGTTGTGTTGCTAAAACTAAAACTTGGGATATTAAAAATTATACATTTTAATATTGTTCTTGAGGAAAAACTGTTATAACTTAGACAGTTAGATTACTGTATCAACCTAGGAAATTTTAAATGCCTTCCCATCAAATCTCAAGTCTAGCTTGATCTCATATAAAAAACTATAAAAGCTGCTCACTTTGTTTTAGCATAATGTCAGGGGAGATTTCTCTCCAATTCTCTCAATTGTTCCCTCACTATCTGAGATTTCAATTTAGCTTAAAGCTTGGGGTGTCTCCTATTTTGAGAAAGCTATATTAGTTGATCCTGCTCCATACATTAATCAGTAATTTCTTCAGAACTGTAAATAATCTAAACAAATTGGTTTATCATGGATTTATAGTATATTCGATAACCAAATAGGTTGAACAATACAGGTTGCAAACTGACGATGATTAGTTATCATGACTTGAGTTATCTTTTCAAAATATGTATAAAGTATCAGACATACCGAAGCTATTATTCCACACAAGCACATAAATAAGACAATTTGCAGCAGACCTCCGAGAATAGCCACCGCCCGAACAATTCGAAGCTGCAAACATGAAAAATCAGATTTACACCATAGATGGATGGATGAGCTGAAAATATATAAGTTTAAGCCAAAATGAATATCCAAGGCAACCTTTGTTGTGGAAAACTCTAAGCCCAATGCAAAGAGCAAAAAGATGACACCAAATTGAGCAACTGTCTCAACCTGCAAGGAACGGAAGCAGTGTGTGAGATTACTTGGAGATCAACCAAATAATTTAAGTTACTTTAATTATCACCCTAGTTCGATGCATCATATTCAAGGATATATATCATATTCCGTTCGCACGATGCGATTTTATATTTAGAAATAATGTGACCAGCTCAAAGAAAGAGAAAACAACCAGTAGAGTGCATAAAAAAAAGAACTAAGGGAAAACTCAAACATACTTGGACCATTTCACTGACAAAGCTCAAACCTCCTGGTCCAATGATGGATCCTGCTAACAGATATCCAGTCATAACCTGCAAATTTGATTGTATGGATGACACAACTTTAATAGGTTTAGTGTAGAAATATATATCCCCAAAAAAATCAGTTTGTGATCAAACCGGTTGTCCAGCACAAGCAAAGGCTATGCCACCACAGGTTGCAGAGACAATGACAACCACAAGATCTGATATCAATCTGCAAATACGAAATGTCCAAAGAGGGTAAGCAACCTGACTAGTTCATAGTTGCCATCACTCATACACGTATACCATTTGAAAAAGAAACTTTAAAAAAAAAAAAGGACAGGAACTGTAAGTAAACCTCAAGTCCAATTGTAGAACAGGATACTTTGACTTGGGATTGGATATGATAAAGACATTGTCCTGAAGATGAAAAATTTAACAAAATATAAAAAGCGTACTTTTAAGAAGAATAGTACTCCATGTACAAGTGTATTTTTCATGCATATCATGATGATATGGCAGTAAAAAAATGTTATTATGTAAGTTTGAAAGATCTAAACTTCAAAGTGCTCGACAGAGGCATACCTTTCGATCAATTAAAGTTGGTGTTTCCTCAACACGGTTCTCACTGTCCAAATTGAAAACATCATGGAACTGAAATGACCTGATAAAAAACTTACCAAATGTCAAAAATACTAAAAATAGGTATTACCATTAAATTATTAAAAATTACTCCCTCCATTCCTTTTTAAGGGTCACTTTTCAGAAAAAAAATTTGTTGCTTTTTAAGTGTCATTTCAAAGTCCAAAGTAGTATTGATTGTAGTTTTGTCAAAATTACCTATAGTTATTTATTACAGAGAGAGAAAAAATCAAATAAATTAATAAGAAGTTAAGGGTATCAAAGGCAAAAACATATTCATTGTTTAAAAAGTAACAACATTTATTAACTTTTAAGTATGTGTAAAATGTCAAAAAATGACACTTAAAAAGGAACCGAGAAAGGAGTTCTCGCTTGAAGAAAAACCAACAATCCAACTATTCTACAAGAAAGAGGTGCATACTTTTCTTCTTTGCTCTCATTTTTCTTGGTCCTAACTCTAGCAACAGTTTCTAAAACAGCCTGATACAATAAACATGTCATGAGAAGAAAGGACATTAGATCACAAGTCTATTCAAGAGCTATGAAAGTCACACAAATAACAACCCTTATAACTATTTACCAACAAATAGAAGGCAAAATAACCACGCCATACGTTCCCACCATAAAATTCATTATCTCAGATAAAAACTAAAACACATTTTTGACACATAAGTGAAACCAGAATTATGATATCATCAATCATGAACTCATCCCTATGATTAGTTTAATGCTCCTCCAAATTAATCATCATCAACCGAGTTAAATTCCTACCATACTGAACTCTAGCCTATAGCCAAATACCTAAAATTACCAAATTAGGACGCGCCAGAACTGCTTCACACTTAGCAAAATCTATAACTTCCTGAGGAAATTAAATACTAACATAGCAAGGAATTGACTACAAACCTGCTGTCCGGCAACACTATTGTTGAAACTACCAGCGTCATCAGTACCTACAAAAGAATCAGGATAATCACCAAGTGCAGTCATTTGAATAAAAATTCCAAATGTTCAACAATTCATAAAAACTCAACAATGCCATAACAAAGTATCCACATAATTGATAGCATTTACTAGTTTCCCATCATAAATGAAGCAAAATCCAGTAATTACACAAATAAGGAAATTGAATAGGTTTGGCAAAAATGAAAAAGAAACACCAAATAATCGGCATTTTCGAATACTCATATTCAATAGCCATGCGCCTATACCTCAAAACACGATCCAAGAGTTTCGGCAACCAAATTAAACAAGAGAATTTCAAATATGCGTAAGCATTAGAAAGAAAATGCGAAAGAATCTAGATCTGCAAACCTTCATTCTGTTCATTTTCGGGAAACTCCCTTTCGAGAGCCCGATCAATCATGTTAGCGAGACTATCCTCGTTCGATCCCGCAAGCGAGGCATTGCCAACGGCGGTTAGGTTATTTTCCGTTAGAACAATATCCGGCTCCGGCACCGAGTTATTCGCAAGGAGAGAGAAAGAGAGTGAAGGATAACAGAGAAGTAGATCGCAGAGAATGATCGTAATTGATAGTAACCTCATCTCCCTGGTTTAGAGAGAGAGTAATGGCGGAGAGTTATGGCGACACCGCCGGAGTTATCAGCACCGTCGTGTTTGGCGCGCGAAATCTCTCGGACTCTTGTATAACTCACAGATGAAGAGAGAGATTGCGGAGAGAGAAAGGGAAGTAGAATGGAGTGGAAGTGCGAAAGTACGAAATGGTCCTTGATGTTTGGTGCATCAAAATTGAAAAAGATATAGTGGGAAATGCACGTTCGGCAAAGCGCGTGTGTCGATGCAAAATCAAAATGCTTCTTTACTTGTATCGTAACTTATGTTAAAGCATCACTAAATTGCATTAATTAATACGCTTATTGAAGATATTACCAGTAATATAGAGACACGTTCAACTATTTCCATACTTTGATACAAGCACCATTACTTCACTTATGTCCAAAAGAAAATATTGAGTATACATTACATTTTTCTGAAAAAAGAAAAGAGTAAACATTGCTTACACATATATTAAGTTTTCCTTTTTGGAAATAACTTCTTTTTCAAAAAAAATTAACTTTATGAGTTAAAGATAAGTCCTGGGGCTGACGTCAAACCTGCAAAATTGAGTTTATTATAATTACATGTGGTAAAATAAACTCGATTTATTGGATTGTCTATTTATTTTTTTACTTTAGTGTTTGATGGTTTAAGGATTTAGGGTGGTATTCTTTAATATATTTGTTCAATTTCGTTCAGTTTTTTTAGGTTTTTTTAAGCACTATTATTAACATAAATTTTGTATTTTTAAATTTAAAAGATGCAATGCTCGCGGATTCATTCTGCACTGTCTCATTTTTTTTAGGTTTTTGTGAAACGGGTTTAAACGAAGCGGACATGTCTATTTTGTTAGAAATTCACCTCACACCCTATGAGGAATTTCATTCAATCTTGATCTCAAGATTGATGAACAAACCCACAATATGATAGTAATGGTAATAACAAGTACTTATCAAGAACAACAAAAGAAAATAAGAACACACAAGAAAGAGAAGAATGAGAGAAGAAATATTTGGAGAGAATGTGTTACCCACAACTGTGGGATTTCTTATTGCTTATAGAACTTTCACTTGCTAAAGACTGCAAATGTGAAATATGTTCTATGTTGTGTTGTAGAATACAAAGCAAGGCACCCTATTTATAGTTTTAGGTTTACACTAGCCCAAAACATAAAAGGCCCAAAATATTCTAAATCAAATCTAATCATATGATATCAAATCTAATCATATGATATCAAATCTAATCATATGAAATCAAATCTAATCATATGATATCTAATCATATCATATCAAAGTAATCATATGATATCAAATCTAATCATATGATATCAAATCTAATCTAATCATATGATATCTAATCATATCAAATCAAATCTGTTTACACAATGAATTATATTTAACACACAACCTAATTCATTGTGTCTAAACTGTCTACATTCATCATGGCCTACTTCACGTCCATCTGACATGTGTGCCAGTTGTTCATATTTGCTAGACCAACAACCAACCTGATTGTTTCGATTCTAGCAACAGGTGCGAATACTTCATCGAAGTCGATTCCTTCCTTCTGAAGAAATCCTTTCGCCACAAGTCTCCCTTTTGTCGAGTTACTTCCTTTAGGATTTACCTTCACCTTGTAAACCCACCTCACATCAATTGCATTCTTGCCTTGCAGCAATTCGACAAGTGACCAGGTATCATTGACTTTGATGGACTCTAACTCTTCAATCATTGCTTTCACCCACTTCGAATCTTTTAATGCCTCAGCTGCATTGACTGGTTCGACATCTGCGTAGAAAGCATAACGTACCAGCTCACCCTCTTCATCGACTACATCATCTGATGTGATTACACATTCTTGCAACCTTGCAGGCATGTGTCTTGTTCGTCGAGGTCTGCTTGAACCTGCTTCATCTGCAAGTGGTTCCTGTCGAACTTCTATTTTGACTTCAGTGGCTGCAGTTGCTAAACACTTGTGCTCCATCACATTGAGTCCAATCTTGAAGGTCCTATTCTGAGACATTGGATCCTTCAAGATTAGTCTACCACCTGCGTCGAGGACTCTCATCATCTTGTCTTGGATAACTACCTTGTAGTTCTTTTCGACAAGCTGCCCTATACTGAGCAAATTACTCTTCATGCCTGGTATGTACAACACATTGGAAATTGTTGACCTTTTGCCATCTTTCCTCATAATCAGAACATCACCAACACCTTCAGCTGCTAGAGTGTTGTCATTTGCAAACTTCACCGTATTCTTCGACGAGGGCTTCATGTTGACAAACCAATCTTTCCTTCCAGTCATCTGTGATGAGCATCCTGAGTCCAAGTACCACTGATCTTGGAATCTTTCTTCAGCGTTTGTTGTGACCATTAGCAACGTTTCTTCTTCTTCATGTTTCGCCAGCTTTGCATCAGTCTCTTGATTTCTCTTCTTTTCTGGACAATCACTAACATAGTGACCATACTTCTGGCAATTGAAGCATTGAATGTGGCTTTTGTCTGTCTTTCGATCACCACCTCTTCCTTTACCTGCAGCACCACCTCTTTGGTTGCCTTGGTTCCAAGGTTTCTTTTGATTCGACTGGTTTCCTCCTTTGTTGCTATTCCAGCTACCTTTGCCTTTTTTTCTGTCTGTGCCTGCAAAGCCATATCTTTCGACTTTCCTGCAGCTCTCTCAGCCATCCTCTGTTCATGAGACTCAAGAGTCCCTTGAAGTTCTTCCTTCATCAACACTGACAGATCTTTCGACTCTTCTATGGCAACTACCACGTGGTCGAATTTTGGAGCCAACGATCTCAAAATCTTTGAGACAACTGCTTTCATCGTCAGCGTTTCTCCACATACTTTGATTTGATTCACCAACCTTGTAACTCTAGTGAAGAAATCTGTAATGCTTTCGTTGTCTTCCATCTGAAGCAACTCATAGGTTCTCTTGTGAGTTTGTAACCTCACCTCTTTCACCTTCTCTGCGCCTCCAAACGACTTTTCAAGAATCTCCCATGCTTCTTTTACTGAATCAACATCACTAACCTTTTCAAAGTTATCAGGATCAACACACTAATGAATTATAAAGAGTGCTTTATAATCCTTCTTCTTCAATTCTTTGTGCGCAGCCTTTTCCGCCTCCGTTGCATTCTCCACAAGCGGTGTCACTCCGTCCTTCACAAGATCCCAAAGATCTTGATAACAGAAAATCACTTTAACCTGCTTGCACCAATTCTCATAATTGTCTTTCTTGAGAATTGGCAGGGTCGCCGGAAAGTTGCTGTTCGGATAGTTCATCGCCATCACTATCTTCCTTCCTTGAATCTCTCAACCGGAGCTCTAGATACCAGATGTTGGAAATTCACCTCACACCCTATGAAGAATTTCCTTCAATCTTGATCTCAAGATTGATGAACAAACCCATAATATGATAGTAATGGTAATAACAAGTACTTATCAAGAACAACAAAAGAAAATAAGAACACACAAGAAAGAGAAGAATGAGAGATGAAATATTTGGAGAGAATGTGTTACCCACAACTGTGAGATTTCTTATTGCTTATAGAACTTTCACTTGCTAAACACTGCAACTGTGAAATCTGTTCTATGTTGTGTTGTAGAATACAAAGCAAGACACCCTATTTATAGTTTTAGGTTTATACTAGCCCAAAACATAAAAGGCCCAAAATATTCTAAATCAAATCTAATCATATGATATCAAATCTAATCATATGAAATCAAATCTAATCATATGATATCTAATCATATCATATCAAATTAATCATATGATATCAAATCTAATCATATGATATCAAATCTAATCTAATCATATGATATCTAATCATATCAAATCAAATTTGTTTACATAATGAATTATATTTAACATATTTATCACTCGTATCTACAATTGCATATGAGGATTTTCTGACAAGTTAAGTATTTAATTTATTTTTAAATTAGAGTACTTTTGTATTATTATTTGTTATAAAATAGAATGTTTAAAAATATATATTTGTCTATTACTAATATATTTTTACATTGTACTAAAGATAATAACATTAAATCTAAGAGAATATAGTCAAGAGGTAAGCAAGAGAAGTTAAAAACGATGGTGTCAAAAGAGAACAAGACTAGTCGTCATTGTTCGCAATAACTCCTCATGTTAGGCTTGGGACGTCTGGACCAGCTTATCTTTCACCCGCTTATTAAAACGTGGAGAGTGACGTGTCTCCACAGCTGATGATTAAAAGGGGTTGTCAATAGGGAAATCGTCAATTCACGATTCCAGGGAGAAATTCATTTTCTCCAGGTTTCCTAGTGATGGAGTTAGATTAATACACTTTATGATTCTTTGAGCCAGACCCAATGGTCCTCTATAAATACTACAAATGTAGGTTGAATAAGGATTGGATAATTCACCTAGAAAAACATATACATGGTTTATCACTGCTCTGTGTGAGGTAGTTCTAAATAATACCAACAACCATAAACACTACAGTCAGTCCTCCAAATATAGGGCTACCATTATTGTATTTTTTTTAGCAAGTACAATTTGCATCCACTGTGGGGTCTGGTAAAACTAAATTGAACCACACTCATTACTATAAGCCAACTGTCTCAGTCACTTTTTCCAAGAGGATGGCAGAATAAGCCACTAATGACGTCGTCAACACCATCGCATGAGGGTTCATCAGTGTTGGAGAATCCATATCTTCCCATTAAGAGTATTATAGACATGTTTTGATAGCGAACATTATACCTGCCATCCTTGAGGCAGATTTGGAAAAGGAACAAGAGTCTGAATTCGCGTTCTCTGACAAGGATATCATTGGCACCCTCTCTCATAACAACAATCACATGGTCATCACGTTATAGTTCAATAACTATGACATAAAATAAGTGTTGATCAACCCCCATAAGCTCAACGGACGTCTTGTTTTGGGACGCTTTTGAGAGATTTTGACTTGACCAAATAACTTTAAATATTCCAAAGCTCATTGG